AATCTAGAGAATGCGCTTGCGTAATAAGTACGACAATCTATAAAATGCGCTCGTGTAATAAGTACGACAATCTAGAGAATGCGCTCGTGTAATAAGAATAATAATTAAAAGAATGCACTCGCGTAATAAGTACAACAATTCTAGAGAATACGCTCGGGTAATAAGTAGATTGTCTAAAGAATGTGCTTGTGTAATAAGTAGAATGTGTCCTGCAATATCCACACGATTTGAAATTGCACTCGAATTATTTTATTTGTATATTTATATAAAAAATTATACCTTGAGATTAGCATGGGGCTCCAACAGAGAAGCATCAAACAACTTGTGATGATCGAGAGTTTCATACAGCATAAAGTCCACGAATGTGATCTGGGATAAAATAATGATTCAATGATACTGAAACTTTAACGATATCAAATAGTATATGAAGATCTGTAGATGGAGTTTGAAAGAGCAGAAGGAACGCTGATTATTAATCTTCTCTATGGTGTTATGGACACCCTGAATAAATATCATCATCATTATCATCATCATCATCATTATTATCATTATTATTATTATCATTATTATCTGCTAACTTATTTATTTACCACGATGAGCAAAAACTTGTTGATGCAACTGCATGAGCATTAGTTGCATCCTGACTTAATTGCTTTAATTTGCATTGGCATTGGTTTTGGCATGGAGTTAATTTGACATCTTTTTTTAGTTTCTGGACTAATTTTTATTCACCTTGTCTCCAACAACATACTTCTTTTCACCAAGGAAGTCTGCTAATGCTTTGATTTTTTGGAACAGCATTTTTGAGATATTTTGGCTTTTCTTCATCCTAATAAAAAAATATTAAAAAATATTAAATACAAATTAATGAATGATAGAAATGGGGTAAAGGTTGTCCTCGTAGTTGCTATCACATTCTCTGCTGCTCTATTGGTTTTTTCCTCTATATTCCATGTGGTTTTTGTAAGTTCTCTGCAAAATCCAATACTCCTATTTCTAAAGTAGTCAAATCATAGCTTTACTTGACCCATGAAACAAAATTGTTCAACTAATGACTTCAAAGTAAAACAAATTAAAACAATGGAATTTGGCAATGGGGGGGGGGGGGGGGGCAATAGTTACTCTGTCATTCATAGCTTCTCCTGGTATGTTTATTCCATGAAACAAAATTGTTCAACTAATGACTTCAAAGTAAAACAAATTAAAACAATGGAATTTGGCAAGTGAGGGGGGGGGGGGGGGGGGGCAAAAGTTACTCTGTCATTCATAGCTTCTTTTTCTGGTATGATTATTGAAACAGATGTCTTATTTAATCAAGAGTATACTTACAAAGGTGGCACTGGTGTAGCACAGTACAGCAAATGCAAAGCGAAAATCATCTACCTGAAAAGAAAAATTGTTATTTAGATTCAACATCAGTAAAAGCTGATAAAGATGGCTTGTCAGTCACTGGACATGTTGACCAACCAAATTAGCTTTAGCTTGGTCATACGTTTTTCATACATACATATTTCTGGCTGAACATTAGCAATTGGTCAAAATGACCGGACAAGATTAAATTCTGGCTTGATATTGTCAGACCACTGGCAGTTACTTCTATAGGAATAGTGTGGATAACTATTTCCTAACTCTATGCAATCTAGTAAAACTAGCTAGCCAATATAGTAACCTGATTTTCCATCATGTCCACAATAACTTTCTCTTTCTCTGTCTCTCCACACAGATTTTTCTTCCTTGCAATGTGACGAATAATCTGAAAAAGTTTAGGATTGAATGAAACATTAATGAAAGAAGAAATAAATCAAGAATAGTGTATGCAGAGGAGTGAATGATCAACCCTCGATTTTAACAAACCCTGAAACAAGTTCTCAGGCTGACCTGAGTTAAACACGGTTAACTCAACAAACTTGATGCCTATAATAATTTGTTGGTGATGCATGCTTTAATTATGAGGGCATATATCACATGCACCCACTTTCATCCATAAATTTCAGCATTTTTTAAAGTCAGTCTTTTGTCAGAGTAAAGTATCCTTTTTTAAGTTAAAATTATCAGCTTTTTTATCCACAATTAATCATAAATTTGATAGGAGAAGGCCAGAATTCTCACCAAAGTGATGTGCCTTGCAATTTGACCAGGAGTTAACAATGTCTGGGTTAAACTTTGCAACCATGATGTGTACTTACAGCACCACTTTGGGTGATCTTGATGTCACCATCAATGTAATAAGGAAGCTAGAATGATAGATAATCACTAACCATTTATATGTTAATCAGACATTTAGAACCTAAAAATTCATTCATGCACTCCCTCCCCTCCTGGTCCCCCACCACTAAAAATGACACTCCTACATCCTTGTTCTGGTGCTGAGGTCTATATGCACTCCAGGCCACAATGCATATGTCCCACCCATCTGCTATTAGTGTTTAGTAGCTAGATAACACAGGTACTTGGGCATTTAAACATTCTTTAAAGTGGTTCCACACCCACTAACAATGACACTCTTAAATCTTTGTTCTGACAGCCAGTTTCACATGCATTCCATAATATCCCACCCAACTGCTATTAAAATAAGGGAACATATGCACTAGGACATCTAAAGGCGCTGAAATACAAAATACAAAAACGTCCAACTTGTTGTGCAACACTGTTGCGGTGCAAGTTCAAAAACAATGTTACTCGTTTTACATCCTATCTATCGAACTTGTCACGCAACAAAATTTTTTATTGCAAGTTGGGAAAAAAAGTTGAACAAAAGATTTTGTTGCGTGACAAGTTGGATAGATAGGGTGTAAAACGAGCAACATTGTTTCCAAACTTGCATCGCAACAATATTGCGTGACATGTTGGACGTTTTTGTGTCTCGTATTTCAGCACCTTAAATACTCTTTAAACTTACATTTGGGAAGTCAAGTCCAAGTGTGAACTTTTCTTTCATCCAGCTTTCTCTGCTGTAATCTGGGGCTGTGGTTGGTAATTATAGAGATGTCATTTCAAACATAATGCAATACACTGATTGAAAAAATGACAGAATGTGAAGAAAGAAGTAATGAAAGAACGAAAAAAAGGAAGGAAAGCAAGATGGAATGCTCTCCCCACTTTAAGAACTGTTCTGCCCTCCCTGTTGGTGCACAATAAATGACATATGGTTCCAGGAAAAAGAGGTACAATAGTCCTTTTCATTTTCGTTTGCAAATTGCCCAGTCCAGATCACATGAAATTCCATTGAGAATTGTTCTTTTATGACGAGCATGTTAAAATATTTACACATGAAAGAATCAATTCCCAAGACTGGCATCACATGGTCTAAAATGGAACAACAAACTACGAAGCAAAAAAGGTCTTTCCACCCGGATTCAACTAGCTTACACCCACGTCAATCATGTTATTCATCAACTTACCAGGGCCACAACTGTATCGCTTGTCTTCGAACTCCATTCCAACATAATGCATTAACAGACGAATAGGCTGCGCAATCTGCAGAAACGAAAAGAATAAATTAATTGTGCTTCCTTTGTCCAGAACCATTCTTGGGTATACACACAAATAATCAATGAAGATAGAAGGTTAGAAATATTCATAGACAGTATTTAATAATCTAAACAAATAAAATCGATTCAGTTATTCGGTCGTTATTTGGCATTTTTAAGGACGAATATAAGGCCGCCACGCGTGCACGTCTCTCCTCCTTCAAATATGAAAAACATATATCGAAAACGTTCAAATCTATAATACTTACCCCTCTGATATCCCAGTATCCGAAAATAGGAGCCATTTTCAGTGTGATTTGTGAGATTTTTTCCTACCAGTATTATATCAACTTCTAGCAACTTTATAGACGACTGTCTGTCTGTCAATGGATATTAAAACTATGGGTTCCCTGTGGTTTACGGGAGTGGCACGTATGAAGCTTGAGACCGAAAAGGATTTTGGGTACCGCGAAATGTGTATTGTATTTGCATAAAGACATGTAAAAATGCACAGTATAGCAAAGATTAACAACATGCCAAAGCCACGATGCATAAAATGTGCACAGGAAGGGAAAACTGCAATACGCATGAAATTAGCATAATTGTTTGTCTTCCCACGCTCCCTTTTGGTCTTAGATTTGATGATATGACCTTTTTTTGAACCCGACAACGTTTTTTCAATTAGGTGTATACTTATTTCAATAAAGTTAGTCACCAAAAACCAGGAAAGCTGAGATCACAGAGGATCATGGGAAACAATTCATTTCAAACAAGTAAAGCTTTTTTGACACAAAATGCAGCTTGAGGATAGGTGAGACTGTAACTGGTAAAATATGTGCAGGTCCATCAACAGTTATCAAGCGGTTGAAACATGTAAAATGTATCCACCCATAATCCTTATCGGCATCAGCTTTATAGCTCTTCAGGTGACTAACTTTATTCAAATAAGTATATATTTGCCTAAAATCTTTATTCCTAGCATGATTTTTTCTAGCGTCAATATAAATCTTGTTCGAAGGTTTTTTCGGAACTCATAAAAAACTCATACAATTGATGGTTGCGAGTATTCCCAAGAGAGTTACTGTTAGTGGAGTGGAGTGGAGTGGAGTGGAGTGGAGTGGAGTGGAGTGGAGTGGAGTGGAGTGGAGTGGAGAGGTTTAATATAAATAAATAAAAAAAGAAAACAAAACAAAAAAAGAAACCCAATAAACGAAAACAGAAAAAAAAAAACACGGAAGAAAAATAAATAACAGTGTGAAAGAAAGAGATGTAGAAAGAAAAAAATGGGATAAAAATACAAATGAATTTTTTTAAGTGTTAGTTTAATATCGAAACATTTCATTCACACTAGTTCAGCACTCTAACGAGATAAAATTGCTATTAAATCAATATGATTTCCTGATGACTAGTATCAATTGTTTTATCGTCATGTCCTGTCCTGGAATCTGCCGTCCTGATGGCTGAATCTCGAAGACTGAATCAAATCAAGTGAATCTAGCGATTGGATTGTTGATGGGACGAGTAATGAACTTGTCACTCTTCATGTAGGCTGCAATAGCAGGCAATGCCTGGAATAAAAACAATAGAAACAACAATCTGATTGATAACCTAAATTCATAAGCCCCACAATTGCATATATTGATATCATTACTAGAGTAATACTCCCATTTTGAGTTCGCCTTTGCTCAGTCTTAGCCTCGATTGTGTACAAATGTGTTTCTTTATTTTATTAAGGTCCATTGTATAGTTATGAATGTACTTGTCATGAGTTTTGTTTTAATTGCTGAATATTATAACGCACAATCGAGATTGAGGCTCAGCAAAGAGAATTCTCGAGTATTTTACTTGACCCGCGAAAAAATAGCTTTTACTTAATAGTTTTTAATGACTGTAAGTCACTTGTTATAGGATGTGTTTGTACTGTATTACGGGCAAGGTAAAACTCATCGTAATGATAAGTTTGCCAGGTACGAGGAAGGAGTGGTCGCGCCTAACCAGCCCCTTCTCATAGGTGACCATGGCAACTGGGCCACAGTCCACCGCTACCTGGCACCCGTCACACCTTAAGAGGTGGAGATACTTACCATCACACGCTAGTCCTCTGAACTGAGAGGTGGGTGGGAGGGGAGAAATATTATTGCCGCTTGCTCAAACAACAACACAATGACAAACTGCTGCCACACTGCAAACCCTGCCAATACCCCTGAACCACCAGGGGGTCCCTCCCATGCTGTTCGGTGGTTCACCGCTGACCAATTAGACTCGGTTTTAACTTTGCCTAAATTACATTCAGGCTCAAGTAAAATCAAGGTGGTTTTTGATAAAAAGTTGAAACATATATTGTTCTATCTTGTTGTTGATAGACGCACTCAAGAGATCAGCTAGACTCATTTTATTGAGGAGAAGGGAGAAAACATACAAGCTTACCTCGATCCGCTCAAGGTATGCCTAGAAAAGAACAAAAAAAGGGTAAGGGATATATTGAGTACTTCCCAAGATTATAAAACCAGTTGCAGGTAACAAGTTAAAGGAAAAAGGATGCGTGTTGAATATAGAATGGGTGATGCGACATGCTAAAGTATAATAATCAAGAAAGCTCTGGCAATAAGTATAATAATCAAGAGAATGCACTGGCACAATGAGTAGAATAATGAAGAGAATGTGCTGTTGCAATAAGTATAATAATCATGAGAATGTGCTGACGCAATAAGTATAATAATCAAAGAGAATGCACTGGCGCAATAAGTATAATAATCAAGAGAATGTGCTGGTGCAATAAGTATAATAATCACAAGAATGTGCTGACGCAATGAGTATGATAATCAAGATAATGCACTGGCGCAATAAGTATATATATAATATAATAGTGAAGAGAATGTGCTGGTGCAATTTATAAGCATAATAACCATGAGAATGTGCTGACACAATAAGCATAATAATCATGAGATGTGCTGGTACAATAAGTAAAATAATCAAGAGAATGCACTGGTGCAATAAGCATAATAATGAAGAGAATGTGCTGGTGCAATAAGCATAATAATCATGAAAATGTGTTGATACAATAAGTATAATAATCATGAGAATACGCTGACGCAATAAGTATAATTATCATGAGAATGCGCCGACACAGTAAGTATAATCATCAAGAGAATATGCTGATGCAATAAGCATAATAATCATGAGAGTGCGCTGGCGCAATAAGTATTATAATCAAGAGAAAGCGCTCCCATATAATCAGAACATTGTGCAATGCTATTTTACCTTTAGATTTGCATGGGGCTCCAACAAAGAAGCATCAAACACCTTGTGTTGATCGAGCAGCTCATACATTACAAAGTCCACAAAGGTGATCTGAGGATCAACAAGAATTTTTATATTTTATGACCATAATACCCATACGGCGCCTTTCCATGATGTTCCCTCCACACGCACTACCACTACATTGTCTATATTTCACAACATACAACACTCAACTCACATGTTGATTTTTACAGAGGGAGGAAACCGGAGATCCCAGAGAAAACCCTCATAGGGAGAGAACAACACATCAAACACACTTCAGGCCTAGGTCTGAACTGGGGCTCAAACCAGGACCACAATGGTGAGAGATGAGCAGTAAACCACTACACCACCCTTGTCATTCATTAGTTGCTTAGAGGAAACGATACAAACCAACAAATGGACACACAAGAACCACATTGTATTGTAGCGACATTTTCTTCTTGCAAGGGTGTTTAAATATTTATAAGCATCACAAAAGCCAGCTTTTAGCTATGCTGACTTATTGGACATTCACCATCCAGTTGAAGTAAAAGTGCTAAAGCTTAGCTGGAATTTTGTTCACAAATTTTCTTCCTACCTTTTCTCCAACAAAAAATTTCTCCTCTCCAAGAAAATCAGCAAATGCCTTGATCTTTGGAACAACATTCTCGAGGTACTTTGGCTTTGCATCATCCTATTTTGAGAGATAAATTTATTTTTGATGAATTCTGGCTTATGCAAGTAGCTTTTTTAATACACATTTTACTTACATAGGCTTTTGCATTGTAGCAAAGACCAACAAAACCATTGCGGAAATCCATCAACTGTGTGAAACAAAAATATTAATCATATCCAATATTCCCATCCAAAACATTTGCTGGCAGCTATCCAAGATGTATTTATGGGGGTAGCTATATATATCACCTAGAGCTAGCCTGTGGCACATGGTGGTCTGCAGTGTAATGCAAAGAAGCTAGCCACCAAGCAACACATTCTACTAGATAGATTGCCAGCACGTGCACGTTAGCTTCTTTCTTAAATCTTAACCTTTATTCTTGATTTGGATTCACCCTTAAAGTTACCATAAAAATGCATTCATTAATAATGCAGTCGATGAAGAAGATTTTAGACATGGGTACATTCTTAATGGAGCTCATTAATGCGAAAAAAGGGTCTCACAATTTATAATCCCTCAAAAATAAATAAATAAATAAATATAAAGTAAATAAGTAAATAAGTAAATAAATAAATAAATAATACCTGATTTTCCAACATGTCCACTATAACTTTCTCTTTCTCTGTCTCTCCACACAAATTCTTCTTCCTTGCAATGTGGCGAAGAATCTGGATAAGCAATGTTGTTAATACAAAATTGCATACACAATCTACGAAATACTAATTTTCATTGTTCAATGATTATAATTAGATTTATATTCAAGATATAAATGGGGTGAGGAAGGAGGTGCTACAATATGACAAAGTATCTTAATGTGTGAAACACCATGATATGGTATTCTAATAAGATTCTAGCCTTTTGTTTGAGTTGTATTTCATGTGTCTTTTTATGTGTAACAATTATAAAGATCAAATAAAATAGCTTTTTCTGTGCTCCATTCAGTAACAGGGACAGTCTTTAAGATTTGAAAAATCTATGATGATGATGTCAACCGGAAGTGTAAATAATTTCTGTTTGGAATTCTGTCCATTGGATCAGATCGAGTGACAGTGCATAATATCTAAGCTATAAATACACAGACATACAAGGATATTTTAGGGAATATTGACATATTGTCTGAAACTTTATATTCTCGATTAGAGTTTGATACTTACGGCATTGCTCTGGGTTATTTTGATGTCACCATCAATGTAATATGGAAGCTAAAGGACAAAAGTATTGTTTGATAAAAAATAATATACTATTAGAGAAAAAAGGAAATATATAGCATCATCGATCACCATCAGCATCATTTGGAATAAAAGCTTAGGCCTAGGGCAAACGTCAAACTTTCCATGCACTGAACTTAATTACATCAAAGAATGCCGCCTCATTATCCCCTGATATCCATTGTTTTTAATGAGTTCGGTGCATGGAAAGTTCAACGTTTGCCCTAGGCCTTAGTTTCTAATGAGTAATTATGTTAACTTACATTAGGGAAGTCAAGTCCAAGGGTGAACTTTTCTTTCAACCAGCTTTCTCTGCTGTAATCTGGGGCTGTGTTTGGAAATCAGATTATAATCAAGACAGAAGGAAATGAGTGAGGCCATGAGTAAGGAGAGAGGATGCGATGTTGCATGCAAGGTTGCATTAATGCAACCTTGCATGCAACATTAGCACTAGCTGTGACAAGACACCCTAAAACTGCCTTTTTTGTGCAACATTGTAGGTGATGTCATATCATGTGTCCAAAACTTAATAGGAATGGAGGAAAAGAGGGAAGGTAGGAGCAAAACATGAGAAGGAATAAATTAAATGACAGAGAAGATTTTGACAAGTATAAAATGATCGATGTCGATATCCTTCTCAGAAACTCAAAAGTAAAATTCTGTCAACAGAATTTTACCCCTGGGTTCCCAAGGATGAATTAACAATATAGCACAGAATTGATGATCAACTTACCAGGACCACATGCGTATCGTTTATCTTCACACTCCAATTCGATATAATGCAGCAGAAGACGGATTGGTTGAGCAAGCTAAAAGGTTAAATCATAAGTAAAAACTAATTAATTTATTAAAACTTTGTCCAACACAATTCAATTCCGATATTCTGCAGTATTCCAGATATTATTTGAATTCCTAGATAGATCGTCTAATAAATAGCACCACTCTTTAACTGTCTTTTATTTATATTGGAACACGCGCAAGCGAGATGTAACATTAAAGAATACAAAACTCACTCCTCTTATGTCCCAGTATGCGAAGACAGGAGCCATTCTTCGATAACAGATAAGTAAAGCTAAAGAGTTTCCAGCAGCTACTACGATGACCCTTTCAAGCAATATGGCCTGGAAAGTTATTATCTAATATCACTGCAGGGGGTAAAGAGCGATGTGGGCTGGGTGGGGGGAGGNGGGGAGGGGGGAGGGGCAAGGCTGACAAACAAAAGCAAAATTATATATCAAGCTTTAAAGTTAAATTGTTAGATAAAACATGATATGATGCAGTGTAGATTTCGTAAGGAAGTCTAGCAAATGTTATACATAGATAAATTCTTATATAGCAATGACTAAGTTTTAATTTTAATTTTGTAATAATTGGGTTGCCTGTGGTCAGTTTGTCAAATGACGAGGGTTTTGTGTGCAAAAGATAACTAAGAGGTAGATCAGATGGATGGATGGATACATGAATGATTGAAAGGGATAAAATGATGAATGAGACGGATAAAATGGATTGATCTCTGCATATCAAAATTTGAAATCATAATCATCATACCATGGGCTTCCTGTGGTACTGAGCACGTGTACCCATCATGCTTCAGGGTCTCTTTGACAAGAAGAAACAATATGGCGAGTGGAGTGAAGCTCGAGGCGTAGAAAGAAACTTCGAATATTACACGGTAAGAAATGCTTCAAAACTAGGCTAAACTAGACAAACCTTAAGATAAGATTGATTTCTTCCCCTGTATAAATTCATTTGAGGTTTTCTAAAAAATTTCGCCGTTAAATAAGTATTTGCATCATGCTTCAGGGTCTCTTTAACAAGAAGAAACAAGATGGCGGGTGGAGTGAAGCTTCGAGGTGTGGACACAAACATCGACCATTATACGGTAAGAAATGTTTCTAAACTAGACAGACCTTAAGATAAAATTGAGTTATTCCCCTGCATAAATTCATTTGAGGCTTTCTAGAATTTTTCGCCGCTTAAATAAGCATTTAAATCCGACATCTTGTTTGGTTGTTGCACGTGGCAGACTTTCAAGTCCAAAAGTTTTGCAAACTTTCTTGCTCTGACATTAAAAACCACTCAATAGCTACTCAGTCAATGCAAAAAAAAATCAAATTTAATTTAGACATTATTTTTTCTTTTCTTACTTTTTTCTGCAAAAAAAAAAAAAAAAGAATATATATGAACGTATTTCAATCAACAAATAATTATGTTGGTAATTTTCCTTCCATTTCTTAAAGGAAAAAGACATTTTAAGCATTTAGTCCAATTTTACGGATTTGCTTTTATTTTGATAAAAACTACGGTCAAACAAGATATATTTTTTTGCAAAAGGGAGTGGTTGACAAATTCTCCTTGGTAGGGCCCCCTAGGGTTGGTCTTTTTTATCAGGGAGGTAGGCAATGGAGTTCCAAGCGGACTTTATGATCCATAATTACTTTAAAAAATGCTCCAATTGGTTTTATTGTGAAAGTGTAGTGTGACTTGAAGTGTCTTGTGTCTTTGGCATTACTCGCACAGCAGTTTATTCTCATGAGAGCAAAAACTTTTGTTTGTGGTGACTGGCTACTTTTGAACGTTCGATTTGAGCCCACAATGTGCACAAAAACCACTGAGGCCCCGTCCACATGTACCCAGAAGTTTCGGTACCTGCAAATTTTTTTTGCATCCACGCATGTCCAGAAATTTTTGTATCCATATCTCCAGATTTTTGAAATTGGTCTCTAGAGTGGAATTTTTGAAAACGCTCCGAATACGGATACTTGTGGACGGCCGTATTCAAAAATTTTCGATTATGCTGACGTAAACACGGTTTTGCGCATGCTCAATAAGAAAAACTATCCGTCAAAGGGACTAGGCACTAGCGTGCATCAGGGTAGATCAAGAAATTTTTGGATATGCGTGGACAGTGAAAATGATTAAATACTCTGCATGTGGATGTGAACATTTTTGTATCCACAAAAGAAAAATTTGCGGGTACAAAAATTTCCGGATACGTGTAGACAGTCCGGGATTCGCTCCAGATCTGGAGAGTGGTGCCATGTCATGTTTCTATTGTTTTCTGCTTTGATGTTAACATTGCAGTCAGGTGACATGAGCTTCTTGAACAAGTACAAGTGAAGGACCGATATTTTGAGTACTTTTTATGGTTCTGAAGGTTTATTAAGTGCTGCAAATGAAAGTAAGATCAATTTTTAATTAAATTTTCATGGAAATCTAATATTTTTTTAAAGAAAAAGGTCTAGTATTTCCTTAAAATAGAGCCAAACTGTAGGTCCCGGTTTTTCGAAGATCTTGTCAATCTTCAAAAGTATGAGGCTTCCACTCAATTGGAACAACTGCTCATGCTTTTCCTTTAGGGATATTAAGTGACATTTCACACAAAGAAACCTCAGATGAATGTTTGGTGAATCCAAGGATACGTAGACCATGCGGTACAAATTGGTACAAATAATCTACATCTATAAAATTTTCAGTGAAAATTGTTTTTGAGCCGGGAAAAATTCGTTAACTTTCCAAAAAAAATGTACATTCCATTACTAACCGAACCTGTAAACACTGTCATGGCGCTCAAGCCAAGGTCCGTGCGATAAAACGTGTCTGATTTTTTCACCATGGTCTTCATCTCGCAGTTAAATTTTCACATCAAGCTATTCTTTCGTATATCGTGAGAACTACTATCAATCAATATCCAGTATCTACTCAATGAAAAAGAAATAAAAAATGACCTGAATAATCTTCACAATTTTAGCATACACATTTTAAACTTCAAAAGGACAATACCATGAAATTTGAAATGGGACTGTATACTTTTTTTGAGGTTATTCAAAAAAAACTTCTAACAATCTCAGTTATAACAATGTTAATTTTTCTAACACACAAAAAAGTAGATTTTTGTAGGGGTTTTTGTTCAATTTTGTGAGAGTTTTTGAGAGCACTTAAAGTACAAGTATTTCTTTGTCTTTTTGTTAAAAATATTCACCTTATTGTAGAATGATGAACTAGTTGTCATTTGTGCAATCATAGAGTTTGCAAAGAACTATTTACTTTAGATTTTTTTGTTTAGATCAATTCCTGTGCATGGGCATCCATTAAATGCTGATTATCTCAAAAAGAAGCTAAGGGCACCCCATTTTTCTTTTCATATTTGGAATCAGCATTAAATTTCACTTTACTACTCCAACCAAAGACACCTCAACAAATTTTCTACAAATTAGCCAATCAAAAGTAGGAATATGAACAATAGAATTGCTACAAATTGGACAAATATCCATGGGTTTACATGGCTGAGAAGACTGCCGGCACCTTTGTTGTCAAATATAAACGTGCTGTCGCATAGCAACATGGTGATAAGATCTAACAGTGTCAGCCTGATTATATCTTTGCCTGGAAGAAACAAACTGTAATCATAAAGACTGTGTTTTATATGGTTTCTAATTTGCTTTCCTGTCGTATTTAAAGTCGTACGCTACTATTTTTCTATATCTTTGGTGACACAAATCACTAATTTGTGAAGAAAATATATTACAAGCTCTTCTTCATCATTTAGTCTTACCAACCGGAACAACGGAAGAATTTGTAAATTCAAAATTTGCCGCTAATCTATTGTCTAAATACTCAAACACTATTGGATAATTTGTAGAAAGTTTGTCGAGGTGGATTTGATTGCAGTAGTCACACTGTAAGGAAATGAATTTTAAAAAAGTTTAAACATTTTTCCAAAAGTAGCCAGTTTCCTTTACCTGCATAAATTTATTTTCAAACACTTGAATTGGAGCTACGCATGGATGAATCTGTTGTTCCAGTCAACATAGACCTTTTTTGAGATAGCGAACATGGTGCATTGTGGTCTTTTTTCCATCGTGCCTTATATGGTGTTGTTTGTATCTATGCTAGACCACATTGAAACTGATTATCAAACTCAGAAAAGGCCTATGGCTGCCATGTAAATAGCCAAAATTTTTAGTTAAAAACCCATCCCCCCACCCAATAAAATCTCTCTTGCTCCCAGGTAAAAACTGAAGGGTCTTTTAAGGTGCTGACACATGGTGCAACATTGCACACAACATTGTAAGCAACAAATTTGAATCGGGGTGACACACACTGCAACAAAATCATGCAACATGGCTTGTGTCAGCCTGATATGTTAACAGGGTTCATACTACTCTTTGAAATCCTTGAAAACTCCTTGAATTGAAAACACGTTTTTAAGGGCGCTTGAAAATAGAGAAAAGGCCAAAACTCCTGGGATACTCCTTGAATTTAATTCTAACATAATGCTATTTCTAACATTCCTTTTAAAATATATAACAATTAAAATTGATTGAAGAGTTTGCGTATATTTCGTAAATAGCCTAGCTGAATATCTGGGTACTTCTTGTAAGAATGCGTATATTAAAGATCTATTTTTCTCAGCTAGTGGCCCTGGCTAAATTAGCTGCACTGTAACATTGAATCAATGTTTAAACTGAATTTTTGTGCTTGAAAAGTGCTTAAAAAGTCCTTGAATTTTGTAACGAAAATGTAGCATGGACCCTGTGTTAAGATATTGGGTCAGCAGTTATAAATTTGGTGCAAGCTGATTGGCTGGAAATTTCAAAATGTTGCAGGTAATGTTGCAGCCATGTTCACATGATGAAATTTGTTGCGCCAATGTTGCAAGAGAGCGATTCAACTTCAGATTTGTTGCATGCAACATTGCGTGCAACAAGTTTGGGGTAGACACATGCTGCAACAGTCCTGTTGTGTACAATGTTGCATGCAATGTTGCACCGTGTGCCAGCACCTTTAGGCTTTGTTCACCTTGGAGGACCATCATACTGACACTTTATTGTTTTTTTTAGTTGGATCATCAAGGATAAGAAGGCTAGCTGAATCTTTAAGTGTTAGTTTTAGATGTTATTTAGTAAAATTACACCAGCGAAAACAATTTCCTTTGAATTGATTGAGCACCAGTGTAATTCTACTAAATACTTATTCACCACCGATTGAGTGGATTCTGGTTGATATTTGCCTCAAATATTGGCTGATCTTCACTTTGTCTTTGGTGAATAATCTTTAATTATTAAATATATCTACATATAATGCTTTGTTGTATGTAGATTTGTTTTCACCACTTTAAGAATAAGAACTCAAACTATCAAAGGTTGTGCAAGCTTTTTGTTACTTAATAAAAAGCGACCACATCTTTTGAATTTTCTTACAATTTACTAAATGCTGGTAACTTATGCACATATAATGTCTCCTTTGGACCTGATGACTGGCTGGCTTGGATCAACTCTACATATTATGATATTAGATTTGATTGATGTATGATTTAGATTGCCTTTTGACTAATATTTTTTGATCTTTATTTGTCTCACATTGAATGATTCATTTTACATTTGATTGATTATTGATGTTTATGAAAAAGTTTCTTTCAAAATTTTGTATATTCTATTCAAACTACTTCTAAATTTTTTCCCCAGAGACAAGTGTTAATTTAAGATACACATTTTAAATTATTTTGAATCAGATTTTCATTACTCTAAGTCCTTTGCTTTAATTTTTTCCATCTTTTTTGCTTTCAAACCGGATTTGTCAAATTCCAAGAATCCAAAATTTGGAAAAAAGCTTTTTCATAAACAATTTCTTTGTTTGACATGTTTACAGTTTGTACAGTATGCTCTCGCTGTACTAAAAAATTCTGTGATCCTAATGTCTTTTTAAAAATTGAAGACGACAAAAAAAAGAAACCTCTCTTTTTGGCTTTCCATTTGGTCCATTAATTTTTTTAGCTGTTCTGCAACCATAGTAAGCGAGAGGATACTGTATACATCATGATGATTGTTTTTCTCCTTGATGCATTTGATGATACAGTAGAACCACACTATCTTTTCCTTGTCATCGGACAATATTAAATTAAGTGTCTGGTACATTTTTATACTCTGATTGTCTGCGATGTATTGCCCAATTTTTATGTCGTGACTGTTTTCTCAATCAGCGTGTAGCAACTAAGACAGTAGTAACCAAAATCATGATCAATCTGCTGCATTTTAGATTTTTTGTTTTTGTTTTATTCTCCTTTGAGCAAATTTGATGAGATAGTGTGGTTCTACTTTCTTTGATTACCATATATTATGATGCTTTAATAAAGATTTGCCTGCTATATTCTGTACTCCTGGTTCACTCCCTTCAACATGGTAAGTCAAGTGCATAATTTACCAGCATTTAAGTCTTGTATTTTTCCACCAATGTCCTCTTTTATCATCCAATTGCTTTTCTGAATCTCTTACATTGCTATTCAAAAATATGTAGACCATGTATTGTGGTGTTACATTCATTTCAAATTACCCAGAGGATGTTGGTTGGAAGGTGCAATTTTCTAAATTACTTTTCTCAGACAAGTTCTTAGTTACCTTACAAACACTAAAACTTGCAGAGCAACAGATGAGTCAATCGAATTAATTCACCCAAATAACAAGTATCATGTACAAAAGATTTAGGCTTTCATGTCTTTGCCAATTTTTTTAATTTTTTTAAACTTAGTACAAATTGAACCTATTTTGTACTACTGTAGTCAACTTATTAGCCCATTACCCGTTGCAACTGCTTGTAGTGTTTGTACTCATCAGTGGAAATACTGTAGTTCCATTTATTTTTAAAGTGGTGAAAATATATTAACTTAGGACTATGAGTGGACACACCAAAGATCAGATAGAAATACTGTACAAAATTCCATTTGGATATTGAATGATATTTTATGGCTATGCCATATCAATCCTGTTTCAAGTTCTTTCTGTAATATTTTATTATCTAAATATTTTTATTTTTGGCCACCTTTTACATTGTTCAGCTAAAACCTAAAATCATTAAAAAACTGGATCCCTTTTTTAAAGGGCTCACCAATTATCTCTCAGCTCCAATTTCATCTTTTTATTTTGGTTCCATTTACTTAATCACAAATGAGGAAAGTCTCAAAACTATAAGTGATTTGATTGTACTCCACAAAATGTACTAACTACTAAAAAAACCTGATCAGAAAAAAAATGCAAACCAACAAAAAAGTTATTTGGCATCGGTATTTCACAGGACTTGGTGTGTTCATCTCATAGTCTGACTAAGGTGTTGCTTGAGTAAAAGTACAACAAGAGATAACAAATGGTATACTAAAATGATTTCTGTCGATTTCTGTCCAACTCTGAAAAGAGATTTATTCGTTAAAATGATTTCAAATTGAAATTGTTATTTTACAAATCAAATAGTATGTTGCCATGTTTCAGGCACTGGAATGGATTTGTTAACTAAGATGATTGAAAAAAATTGGGTTTATCTGATGTTGGCGTTATAATGGCTTGATATGTTTTTCTTGCCACTACCTTTGGACTTCAAATTGCAAATACCCAGACTGAAAGCAATTATTAAAAGAAAAAAACAACTAAAATTACATACGCGGTTGCAAACAATTCATGCTTGGTCAGCAAAAAAATACCATTTGTTACTCTTGCTGTAATGCAGAATAGATTGTGTAGGATTGAGTAAACCATGGTACAGACTTGAGGTGCCAAAATAAATCAACTCTGATTTTATCCTAAAACCATACTATAACACACTGTACTATACCTTGCCATACACCATGGTTTGCTGCAATCCTGTCTAAGTCTATTCTGTTACTAGTACTGGTAAGGCTCAGTGTAGACCTGGAACTTTTCATTGATCAATTAATTAAATGTTGAGAGGTATTTAAAATCAGTCATCCAAAATTGCGTCTTTTAGAGTTTCATTAAGCTTCATGCAAGCTAATTTTTATTGATCGAATATTCATTGTTGGGAGGTATCTAAAATCAGTCATTCAAAATTGGGTCTTTTAGAGTTTCATAAAGCTCCACGCAAGCTACCCTCTAATCAGTTTAAGGCGGCTTTCAAACTGCTTAGATAAAGTAGATGAAAAGTTCCAAGTCTAACTGGGCCCAATTAATACTGTATACGAGGCATAAAACCAGTTTTATGCCTCGTTTTAGTTTCCAGTACCAGTCTTTTAATCAAGCAACACCTTTGTCTTCAGAATCCTAATCAAAAGCTCTGTCCCTGAGGTCATCAGTTCATCCTATGCCAAACCCTTAAGGGTGGCCCTTAACACAGTGTTGAGGGCCATTTTTTCTTAAGGGGAGGGTAGGTTTGAACTTTTGATCTCAGGGACCTTCGTCTAATTACCCTAGGGGCAAAAAAAATCACAAAAAGACTTAGTATATATTTTTTCAAAATTTATGGGGATTTTTTACTTTTTTTTCACAATTTTTCATTTTTTTTCATTTTTTTTCTTTCCAATCTGATTTTTTTTCATTTTTTTAAGCCAATTTGATTTTTTTTCCTGGTTGTTTTTTTGAGCCAACCTTCTTACCTTGTCTATGGATACCTTGTTCCTTGCTTGTGGGTGGCTGTCTTTTTGCTTGTCCAATTTTTCATCTGAGAACCTAGACCTTACCTGGATTTGAACCCTTACCTTCAACTTGCCTCTTGTCCATTAGCCAGTGCACTTGTGTTGTATACTGTCAGTTTATTTGTTGAAAGTGATGGTATTGATGTACCTTATATCATAGGGCTTTGTAATGGCTTGCATTAATTACCAATTAAAAATTCTCATGAATATTTAATGTCTTGTTTATTGTCTGAACGAAACAATGGGGGTAATTAATAAAATAAGGGGATTAGATGGGTGGGGTCAAGGTGCTAAGCTAACCAAAGGGTTAAGGTGCTAAGTTAGCCGAAGGTGCTTAAGGGGATTAGGTGGGTGGGGTAGAGGTGCTAAGCTAACCAAAAGGTAAAGATGCTAAAGCGACAAGTGGGTGTGGTGCAGTAAGCAAAGTACAGCCAAGGTCGCAAATGATGAACATGCTAAAAAACGTTTTTGGACTGGAAAAAGCTTTGATCCATGGAGCAGATCACGTGACAAGGAGCCTGAAAATTTTCTAAGTTTTTTGGCGGGAAAAAAACGAAAATTTGAAAAGGGGTGTACCATGAAATAAACGGTAAAATATTTTAAAACTCATTTATTATACACCAAAACAAATACATGTAAAATGCGTAAATACCAATATTTATACAGTCGTAAATGAACAATAAAGTTTCAATGATATTTCTTATAACCTGGTGGATCCGTCGGTCTCCTTCGTTCTCGTCGGCAGAGTTTGAAAACGTCTTTTCCGTTTCGGTTCTTTTGCTTTGACGTTTTCCATGATTTGATAGTCTAAAAAAATAAATGAATGAATAAAGAAATAACTTGAGAAAAAAATGAAAAAAGAAAGGAAAACTTAAAATCTTATGGGTATTAATATCGTGTCTTGAACTCGGCTTTAAATTTTGAAATGATATTTTAATCTTAGGAATTAAATGTAGGGGGGGTGGGGATGGGGAACAAAATCGATGTTTTACGATGGCGGGTGTTAATAACTTGCCAAAAAATAATTTTTTTCTACGGGTTATTGACGAGGTACTTCTAGATACGACTATATATATATAAATATAATAACATTGTAAACAGTTATGAACTTAAGGAACTACTACAAAATCAGTATTATTACAAACTAAAGAAGCCATTGCGCAGTTTAATAATCTTACTTCAGATTGACGAGCAAAAACATACTCAAAAATCAACGAATTTCGACGATTTTTATTTGCTTTTCTAAACCTAATAGTTAGATAAAGTTTATATTTCACATTACCTTTCGTTTTAGACGTCTAGGATCTTAAATACGGCTGGTTTCTTGACATTTTTGGAACACTTTGATGGCTTCTTCTTGTCGTTTTTCAAAATGGCGGAACAGAACAAGTTTGTTGGATGTCTACGAATCCCTTGAGAATGAAAAATCTGCAAGCAAAAAGAAAAAATCGCTCTTAAAAAGCGTGCTTTTTACAAAAACACCTTTTTTCTTTTTAGACTTTAGACTGACCACTCCCTTGAGTAACATATCTTTGTCTCTGTTGACAATAAACAAAATCTGCGATTAATGAATCGTTAAAAAAATGAAACGTTTGCTTTAAGAATGTTTAAAAAGCAGTTTTAAAGTAACACGACATATACTTCTTGAAAAAAGGACCTCTATAAAATTCTTAATTTTTGCTACCACTAGCCATCTATTAACTATGCACTAGCATTTGGAATTAGTACTATGATAGATATCTGCTGTGCCCACGCGCAACAATTCAAATCTTTATGCCGTATGTTTTATATATTCCTTACTTAAACTAAATCTTTAATTTAATTTTATTTCGAAAGTATGAGGACTTAAGCTGAAAAAATATTTTATATTCCTACTGACAATTTGTGCCTTTTTTCGCCAAAAAAGATTTCTATCTTTTTAACACGTTCGAAATGGTACCATGGGTGATGGATATTTGCTGGGCCTAACAACAAGCGTAACGATACTATATACATATCGCTTTAAAATCTTTTTCAGCAAAAGTCCTCATGCTAATAAAATAAAAACTAAAGATTAAAATAAGATTTAGTTTAGGTAAGGACTGTATATTCCCACTGAAAATCTTTGTCTCTTTTTGCCAAATATTTCTATCATTTTAACACGTTTTAAAGCCCCGTTTACACTGGCGATTTTTGCTGCAATAGTTTTGTGGCAATTTTCGGAAATATGAAATCTTTTGTCTCATCCTTCAAAAGAGACATTAGTCTAGGAAAATCTTGGTATCCTGAAAAAAACTTTACAAGTAAATTCTTTACCATTATTTATTATAGACAAAATCGCAAAAAAATAGCAGCAAAAATCGCCGCAAAAATCGCTAGTGTAAACGGGGCTCATAAGTACCATGATGGATATTTGCTGGGCGCCTAACAACAAGCGCAACGATTAAAATCTGGCATATGTTTTATAAAATCTCTTTCAATGCTATCGAAATAAAAACTAATGATTTAGCTTAAGTGAGGAATGTTTATTCCTACTGACAATGTTTGTCTTTTTTCGCCAAATATATCTATCTTTTTAACACGTTTGAATTAGCACTATGGGTGATGGATATGTGCAGGGCCTCGACGGACAACGGTGACGCGCAACGGTTCAAACCTATATACATATCGTTTAAAAAATCTTTTTCAGCGAAATTCCTTATGCTATATGAAATAAAAACTTAAGTATAAGTGTAAGTAAGGAATGTATATTCCCACTGACAATCACTTTTTTCCACCAAATATTTCTAGTATTTTAACGAGTTTGAATTAGTACTAGGACTTCGATGCATATTTGCTGGGGATAATAACGCGCGCAACTATATGCAGTGATATTTTTTCTAACTAGAGTTGTAATACTTTCTAAATAAAAACATAAAATTAAGTTAAGGTAAGGCATGTATATTCCCACTAACATTCCACACCTTTTTGAACCAAAGATTTCTAGCAGTTTGAATTAGTACCACGATGGATTGCTGGGCCGTCTATAACTCGCGCAATGATTCAAACCTATATACATATGGATTATAGATTCATTTTCAGCTCGAGTTCTTATGATATCGAAATAAAAACACAAGAAAAAAAGGACGGAAAATATCAGGTGTGGGTTTTCTGTGGTTTGTAGGAGTTTTCAATTTTTCAATGATAACTGAATACACTGAATCGAACTTTAGTTGTTTTTTTTTTTTTTTTTTTAATTCCCAAGTTCCGCTTGTATCTTAATTACATTCAAATCATATCTCAAACAAAAAATATACAAAAAATATAGAAATGCAAAGAAAATTCAGATTTCTGGTTTCGTGGACCTGTTTTATTTTACCACAGGGATCCCAAATTCCAATGATCGCCATAAAACGCTTTATAGAAAAAAAACTAAAGACTTCTCAAAAAAAGCGCTTGAAGTATTAAAAACTCCATTCTTAGCTTTAAATCTTGGTCTGATGAAATTTGGATTTTTCGCAATTCTTTATAGAGAACAAGGCTCTTGAAGTTGCGACCCCTAAAATCGCGTTTTTTCGAAGGTCCCAAATTTTCGTCAATTTAAAAATTCGCTTTTTATGAACAAAATATACGCTAAAAGAAAGCTGAGGATGAGGGCTTTATGTTTCTGAAACTATCTTTTCTGATTATATAAAAGCGAGGGTGTAATGAGTGAAGAAAGTTTCTGGTCTGCAGTCAGCTAGTCAGCGGTCTACTGTTTTTACACTTTTGCAAATTTTTGTATGTTTTTGCTTTTCTTTTTCAATAAAATTTTCATGGATAATACCTCTTACTATGCGTAAAATAACTAGACTGACAAAAGTTGAAATTCGAAAAATTTAAAAATAAAAGAGCGAACAAATTCTGTCTGGGTTGCCTGTGGTTTGTCTAGGGCTATGGTTGCACGTTTTAATTCAAGCGATAGCAAAACTTACGCATTTTTTCCCTAAAATGATAACTAAATCTGTAAAACTTTATGAAATTTTTTTTTTCAAAAAAAAAAAAGGAATTTGAATTTAGACCAAACTATTATTTTACCACAGGGACCCCAAAGTCAATTTAATATAACCACAGGTATCCTGTAAATGACCCCGTGGATGGGGTAAGGTGGTTGTCCGATATCCCCTCCCTAGGGGAAAGTGATGATCAGTTCCTTATGTTATGTATATAAGACATATACCGAAATACACCTATTAAACTTGATTGTAAAGTGACAAACCTGCAGTTGTTTTGTAAACATGACTTACCAGGCATCTAGGTGTTGAATCCAGCCAGATTCTTGACTTATTCCGTGTTCCATCGTCGTTTCTTTGCTCAATCATATCATCAACATGGAGGACAACACAATAAATCTTTCTCAAGATACAGTTCAGTGCTTAACAAATGTGAATTTATTTACCAATAGCTTTTTTTCTCATTGGACTATTCAACAATGAGGAATGTATCTTGGGAAACGCCTATTACGCGCTCCAGAAATGTAACACCCGAGATAAAAGGAATGCTTTTTGAGCATTGTTATTTCTTGCTGAATATATCCTTTAGTTCCCAATTTCTGTAAAAGTTATCACTCAATATAATAGAGGGTTTTACTTGGCCCGTGAAAAGAATAGTTAGCATACATAGTATACACTAATTCCATTGTTTTCTTTCGTTTTGCTTGGCCAGTGTTAGTCTCTCATTATCCAACCTCGTTTCACGGGCCAAGTAAGATCACTCTGGGGCTTAGGGGACCCTGGTCCCCAGTCCATTTCTTATCATGTGACATTTTCCTCCTCAACCCACCCCCCCCCCCCTCCCCAACTCCCCAACTCCCCCAAGATATGCTCCAACATCCAGTACAAACCCACAGACGAACAAAATATAACTTTATTCAAGTGATAGAAGATCGACTTTATATGTACCCAAATAGGATGGCATTTTTATTATCACATGTGTTACCGTACTAGTAAAAACGGTACTTTATTTATTGTTGTAGTTTGATTTTTAAGAAAATGTTTTGCGCGCGTCAATGTAGTGCATGGGTACCGTGCAGCACGCGACACACACTAACTGTACACGATGTATCTAGTCAACTACTCCTTAGCTTCCATTCACTATCAAAGTACGACAAGTACGATGCACAGTACAGGATAGCTATAACACGCGCATTGGACACAATATATCTATGGACAATGCACACGATGTATCTAGATCACATCATGCACCGGCACAGTACAGGATAACTCTAACTCGCGCATTGGGCACAATATATCTATGGACAGTGCACACAAGTATCTAGATCACATCATGCACGCTACATGATAAATCTAATACACGCATTGGGCACAATATATCTATGGACAGTGCACACGATGTATCTAGATCACATCATGCACGCTACATGATAAATCTAATACACGCATTGGGCACAATATAACTATGGACAGTGCACACGATGTATCTAGATCACATCATCTACGGTACGAGTCGCACCGTGACCGTGTTGCGACCGAGCAGTACTATCGCGAGGTGTCTGTAGTTAGCTTAAACAATGTTGCAATCTCGAACTGCTTTATATGTGCTATACCTCGTACAAGTAAAAACACACCAAATTACCATACCGAAAACATTCTGCGCATTAAGAGTAAACATATCAGACACTACAAAACGATCCACAGGATATTCAAGTTGTATACCTGGTGTGTGCAGTGTATCTAATACACGTATAGTGCACAGGGTATTCAATACCCACTGTACCCTGCTCATCTTACATATCAAATACACTGTGCATCATATACTAACAATATACCCTGTGCATCTAACACACCTGGTGTGTGCAGTGTATCTAATACATGCAGAATGCACCGGGTATTCAATACTCACTGTACCCTGCTCATCTTACATATCAAATACTCTGTGCATCATATATTA